CACAACACACACACACACACACACACACACACACACACACACATATATATATAATATATATATATATATATATATATATATATATATATATAAAATATGTATATATATATGTATATACACACACACACACACACACACCACACACACACACACACACACACACACACACCACACACACACATATATTATATAATATATATATATATATATATAATATATATATATGTATATGTAATGTATATAAGTATATACATAAATATACAAATGTATGCATGTATGTATATACATTATGCATGTTTACATAAATGAATACACATATGCATATATATACACACGTTCGAGTGTGGTGTGTGTGTGTGTGTGTCTGTTTGTATGTGTACATGTTGTTTATATATATTTTAACAAACGGATGACAAGAGTTCATGTTAGCAAACACGCACATAACGAAATCACACACGTATAGATGTGTACACAAAAACCACAGGTAAATTCACACATAAAAATACGCGTACATAGACAGAAAAGCAGACACACAAACGCACACATCCAAAGACCCACACACACACACACCAAACCACAGATACACCCAAACATACACACCCCAAAACACACTTCCAACACACAAACAAAAACAAACGAAAATTCATAAACAAAGACACACACCCCAAACACACACAACACACACACAACAAAAAAAAAAAACAACAAATATTCGAAACACAAACAAACTCGCAAAAAAAAAACACACAAACACACATACACAGAGTAGCACACACAAAGGCATGCAAATCTGACGGTGGCACTCCCCCCTCCCCCCTTACCACTTACTACCTATCAGAGGGGGGGGGGGAGGGCTGACTTCTATTAATGTATATGCATGCTTTCTTCTCTATGTCTGTCTGTCCGTATGACTGTTTGTTTGTCTAAATTGATTGTGTTTGTCTGTTGGATACGTTTCCTCTCTCTCTCTCTCCTCTGTCTACACACAAACCACACACGCACGCACACACACACACACACACACACATATACATATACATATTACATATAATATACATATAAATATATATATATATATATATATAATATATATATATATTATTATATATTAATATATATACATATAAATTCATACATATATATATATATATTAACAATATATAATATATATAATATATATATATATATAAATATATACATATATTATACAATAAATATATAAATATATAATAATATATATATATATATATATATGTATTATAATAGATATTTATATTATATAAATAATACACTATATACATATATTATATATAATATATATATATATATATATATATATATAATATATATATATATATATATATATATATATATATAATATATATATATATATATAAAACACATATGTGCATCTCTCTGCGTGTGTCTGGCCTCGGTTCCCCGGCCGGCGCCTCCTCCCCGAGCGGCGCCGCAGATGTTGGCCGGGTTGGAGGTGGCATTCGTCCGTTGTTTGATGGCATGAATTGTTCTGGTCTCGGTGTCAGGGTCATTGGTGGCAGTTGACGCTGACACGCTCTGACTCGCTCCTTGAAACTCTGTCCTCCTGCTGCGTTTGGTTCTTCTGCCGGAGGGTCGAGACGCCGAAGGAGATTCTCGCGATCTTTGCTCTTCCGTCGGTCCTCGGGGGCGCTCGGTCGCAGAGACGAAGAGGAAATGAAGGAGGATGGGATGATCTTTTTTTTTTTTTTTTTTTTTTTGGTTCTCTCTGGTTTGGTTCGTTTGCTTGTATTTTTGGGCTTCGTGCACCTGGTTGAGAAGTTCTTGGATAAGTTACGACCAGGGAGAACTCTTTCGTTCTATGTTGAGTATTTGGTTCCGTCTGTTAGTTCTACTCGAGGAAACGGAATATATAAAAATGTTCTAATCATCAATATCATTATTGTTATTATTATCTAAGATAGAGATACACAAATTTGCTGATAGATATATGACTGTGGGGATCGAGCATAACACATCATGTGTGGAATTCATGACGAACAGACTGCGATAGGAACAACGAAGGAAAGAACAAGAAAACACACGAATATACCGAAGGCCTTTTCGCTAATGCTTCATCAAGCCCTGACGAAGCATTAGCGAAAAGGCCTTCGGCATATTCGTGTGTTTTCTTGTTCTTTCCCTTCGTTGTTCCTGTTGCATAACGCAGCATACGAGGCTCTGATAAGACATGCATTAAACTCGGCTTGTAATGTACATCGCTTGCGCACGGCATGTAAGGCGCGAGTTTGCACACGGAACGGCTGGCGAGGCTGCGGCGTTTCACCTGCCTCGGCCATGACGGTCGCGACCCATAATGCACGTTATTTACCCTAAAAGCGCCGCGCGGTGAGGTAATGCCAGGCCATACATATTCATGGCGCCGCAACCAGATATCGACTCTTCAGCTGACATGTGATATCGACCTGTCTCTAATCACCAACTGTTGATCTTATTGGTCTGCGAACAACTAGAAGCCCTCTTCCTATTGGCTGGCGAAGGTTACTGTCGAAAGGCTGTTCGTGACCCGATTGGCTGCCGGAGCTTCTGGCAAAAGGAAACTCGTCGCTGATTGGCTGGCGGGGCGTTTTGTCTCGGGCAGGTGCATCCCGCGCCCGCATGTGTCTCGCCACGAGCACTCAGGTCACGTGACCCTCCCCACCCGCCAGCTCGGGTTCCGTCGCGGGTGCTGACGCCAGCGGTCACCGGAGGACAATACCTCCGTGGGGGACGCCGTCGCCGCCGAAGGACAGTGACACTGCGCCGGGAGGAAGGGATCCGAGGCGCACACGCGAGGGACCGGCCGCCGCGCCCCAAGCCACGAGGGGAAACAAGCCGGAAAGACGGGGCCGTCGCGGTGAGAACTCTGCGGAAGAAGAACCCGGAGTTAACATAATTGTAAGCCTCCTCAGCAGTGCACAGGAGGGCGCAGCACCTGCACCGGAGGACGGCGCACCATTCCAAAGGGGGGAACTCACCCCCCAGCCCCCCACCCCCTCCCCTCCCTGGGTGGTCAGATCATCATATCATGTGATAACATCTTCAGTCGTCGAACCTTTATGCTCAGTGGTGTTCGATGTCGGCAGAGCGCGGCGTCGTTCGGCCGCGAACAATACGCTGCAGGGAACGATTAGTCTCAGCCCTCACCCCCCTCCTCCCCGCCCCCTCTCGACCTCAGGCCTCCCCCTCCCCCCTCCGCCGCCCCTGGCCACGTCGTCCTCGCCGAAGGGCCGCCAGTCCAACTCGAGGACCTGGAGGACTGCGACAAGTGCGTCTTCGGTGCTGTGGCGGCGCTCGCGGGAAGCCTCGCCCTCGGGACCCTCGGGATATACAGGCTCCGCTAAGTGCCCCGTGCAAAGTGGCTGAGGGAGAGAAGCGAAAAATTAAAAAGAAAGGATTTTGAACATATTTCCGTTAACGAAACTGAATACGAATGATATGCCATTGACGGCGATTCCTCTGAAAATGCCCTTAACACCGATGTTAAATTGAAAAAAAGAGAAAGAAAGAAAGAGAGAAAAATGTTACCAAGAACTTACCTGACACAAACTACACTATTCCACGCCCTCTGAAGTGTACCAGAAAATACCTCCAGTCGTGGCCTTAAACTCGAAAACTCCCCAACAGGAATTTACGTGAGAATTATGTGCAGAAACTATGCGATGAGAAACACCTTTTGGAATACGAGGTGAAAGCCGAAAGGAATTTACAGCTGATTGAAGACGTGTTAGGAGAGCTGTGACGATCGAGAGGCAACGAGGAATAAGGATTGATGGTTTATGAACTCGTGTAAGCTGCCAGTTTAACTATAATTTGGTTGTTTTCCTTGTTGTTTTAACTATATTATTAGTGATGTTTAACTATGATATTAGTGACTTTTGTTGTTGTTAGGTTGTCATAACCGAGACTTTGTTGTCATTCTTGTTGTTTCCAGCTACAGGGGGAGTAATTATAAGGTTTATATGCTTAATCCCTTTCCAAATATATAAAGATTAGCTCTGATTTATACTATAGATAGAGCTCCGGACGTAGTTCATTTTCTGCGGAGAGAACGAGCGCAATCCATTTTTTCCGGTGGTACGGCTATGCGTAATTCTTTTTTTTTTTTTTTTTTTTTTCAAATAGCGCGAGAGCAATTCTCTTTTTCATGGGATACGATTGTAATCCAATTTTTTCAGAGGGTACTAGCGTAGTCCACTTTTTTTTCTTTACCAGAGGATACGAGCGCAGTCCATTCTTTTTAAAGGGGTACAAGAGTTACCCACCTTTTCAGGGGTTACGAGTGCAATCCACATTTTTTTTTAAAGAGGCTACGAGCATAATCCACTTTAATGAGAAGATACGAGCCGCAATCCCCTCCCTCCTCGTGCGCACAGAAGAACCAAGAAGCTGCATCTTAACGGACGAGAAACGTCTTGAATTAAGCCTTTAAATTGTTCCGTTGAGACTTGCCAAGCGGCCTTTTCTTAAGCGAGGCGTCTTCGCGGGCGAGAGAGCTTGGAGTACTGTCCCGCAATCGGCCTCTTTCGCTTGATGGGCGTGAGAATTCGTGGGCGTTGGCAAGTTTCGTTTGCTTTCGGCTTGGCTTTTGGGTGGTTTTGGTGAGGGCGGAGTTTGATTTGGCTTGGCTTGGGTGTCGTATGTGATGGGGGTTTGGGGGCTTGCTTTGTGAGGGTTAAATGTTGAGGGTTTTATTTGGCTTGGCTTGGCAGCGAGTTGCGTGGTTTTGCATAGCTTGACTTAGATCCAACGCGCTTGTCTTTACTTGACGTTGGCTTGGCTTGGTTTCATATAGCTGCATTTAGCTTCGCACGGCTTGGCTTGGCTTGGTTTTGCGGCATCATACATTTCTCGTTAGTTCTACGTGAGGAAACTTGGAATATATAAAAATGTTTAATCATCAATACCATTATTGTTATTCTTATCTAAGATAGATTTACACAAATTTGCTGATAAGTTGATATATGATCGTTAATGTAACACACACACACACATACACACGCACACGCACACGCACCGCACACACACAACACATCACACACACACAACCACGCCAGACACACACACACATATATATCATATATATACATTTTATAACACACACATGTATATACACTCACACAATTAACCATACAGAGACACACCAATAACCCACACGCCGCAGATCCAGCACAAACACCACAACACGGGAAGATCCACACACAACCCCCAACACGGGCAGATCCAGCACAAACAACCCCAACACGCGCAGATCAGCGCCAGACACCGCAAACAACTCCAGCACAAACAACCCCCAACATGCAACATAGCCATCGAGGACCATGAGGTGCTCTTAATGAAAGGCGCAGTATGTCCCGCAGGAGTGTGCGCGAGCTGGTGCCGGCGCTGAGCGGGTGTGTGAAGATGGCGCCGCCCCACCACTTCGACTGGACATCAATGACTCCAACATACCCAAAGTAAGTGGCGTTTTTAAACCTGTTGTTTTTTTAGGGGGGGGGTGGGGTGGGGGGGAGGGGGGTATGTGTGTGTTTTGGTTGTGTCTGTTTAAGGATTTAAAAGATGATAATATATTGGGGGTGGGGGTATGTGTTTTTTTGTGTGTCTGTTTAAGGGGATTATAAGTAGTAATGATAATAAGTATTGGGGGTGGTGTATGTGTGTGTTTTTTGTTGTGTTTGTTTAAAGTGGATTAAGATGAAAATAAAAATAAGTATTAGGGGTGGTGGTATGTGTGTATTTTGTTGTGTATGTTTAAGTGGATTAAAATAGAATGATAATAAGTCTTATGTAGATTGTTAAAAAAATCTATTTAAATGACTTTTAGTGTTTTTTTTCATTTAACATACTGATGTGTGGATTGTTTTAACGCGTGGATAAATGTGTTTAGGTTTAATTTGGTAGATTATGCAAATTTGAGACAGTTATATGGTTTAGTTTTCATGTGTTAATTCTCTCTCCTTCTTTTCTTATAATTTCTGCGAATCCTGTATATGCATCAGATATAGAAGAGAACGATTAATTGGTTCTTACTTAGCTAAAATTATTTCATTGATATTTACCACTAGCATCTAAGTTACCATCTATGAAAGAGAGAGAGAGAGTGAGAAAAAACAACAAACCCACCCATCCATTTTCTATCACTTTACCGATTTCCCACTTTCTATCACGCGTCATTAACACTTCCCCGTTTTCTATGATCCTCCCGCCCTTCAGGTGAGCGAGTTCGACCTCTTCTGCGACTGGGCCGACGGACACTGCCGCTTCGTGTACCCGCCGGAGCTCGAGGAGGCCAAGAGGCACTCCTCAGGCTGGGCCATGAGGAACACAAACAACCACAACGTCAATATTCTCAAAAAGTCGTGTCTGGGAGTGGTCGTTTGCAGTCTCCGGTGCACACTTGACGGCGGGATGAAGGTAGGTCGTTAGAGGGTTCTCTGGTCGTTGCGTTTTATAGGTTGTTTGGGAGGTTTTTATTATATTATTATTACCTGGAAAAGAATAAAGTTTGTGATTTATATCCTGTGACGGTTTTTTTTTATAATCGTGTTCTGTTTAAATAAGGTTTCTGGTTTATTTTTCCATGATTGTTTTCAATCATTCTATTATTATTATTTATTGATATTGTTATTATTATTATTATTATTATCATTTGTTGATTTTATTATTATTATCATCTATATTATTTTTTTTATTATTATTTCATCATCGTCAGTATTATTAATTAACATTACTTTCAATCCATCCTCATCCCCATCCTCCTCATCATCATCAATCATTCATCTCCTCCTCACCATTATCTCATCATTAATCATCATCTCATCCTCCTCTCCTCTCATCATCATCATCATCCTCACCATTATCACCATCCGTGCCCCACCTTCTACCAAAACGCCATGACAACACGCCACGCCCTCCTCCTCCTCCCCCGTGACAGGTCCACCTCCGACCCGCCATCTGTGACAAGGCGAGGAAGAAGCAACAAGGGAAGCCGTGTCCTAACAAGTCCTGTTCGGGAAAGCTGGAGGTCCTGCCGTGTCGGGGTCACTGCGGATACCCCGTCACGCACTTCTGGCGTCACACCGACCACGCCATCTTCTTCCAGGTGACGCTCGCTTCGGTGTTGTTGAGAGAGAGAGAGACACGCGGCTTTTTGTTATATATGTGGGATACGTCGACTCGGGAATACACACGAGTCTCCATGAGTAACGAATGCACATACTCGAATAGAATTTATGAATGAAATTAACACACAAGTCACCATAAGGAACGAATTCTCACACTCGTATAGAAATTTATGAAGGAAATTACTTAGCTAATTCTCTCTCCCTTTTTTACTTTACTAATTCTCTCTCTTTCTTTTTTTTCTTTCCCTTCCCCTTTTCCCTTCAGGCTAAGGGCGTGCACGACCACCCACGACCCGAGGCCAAGAGTACAGCCGAAGCTAGGAGGAGTCTCACAGGTCGTGGACTCTCCCTGCACCATCACCACCCCGACGACCGCCGCCACGACTCTCGGAGACCAAGGTAAGGAGATGTGTGTGTACGTGTGGTGTGTGTGTGTGTGTGTGTGTGTGTGTGTTGTGTGTGTGTGTGTGTGTGTGTGGTGTGTGTGTGTGTGTGTGTGTGTGTGTGTGTGTGTGTGTGATAGATGAGAGAGAGAGAGAGAGAGAGAGAGAGAGAGAGAGAAGAGAGAGAGAGAGAGAGAGTAGAGAAGAGAGAGAGGACAGAGAGAGAGATAATATATAGACAACAGACACACACAAACAAACAAACAAACAAACAGACCGAAACAAGGTGGACAGAAACAAGCAGAGACAACCCAAAACAAGCGACAGAAGCAACCGAACAGACAGACAGACAGAGAAAAAGGAACAGAAAGAGGAATAAAAGGAGTGAGAGAGCGAGTGAGAAAGAGGCCTTCGAGTCCTTTGCTAAGAATTTAAGCACCTTGACTCAGCCTCTGGGGGGGAGGGGCATGGGGAGGAGGAGGGAGAGAGAGAGAAGGGAGCGAGAGCGAGAACGAGAGAGAATGAGAGACGAGAGAGTTAGCGAGAGAAAGAGCGAATGAGTGGGGTGAGTGAGTGAGAGTGAGTGAAAGAGAGAGAGAGAGAGAGAAGAGAGAGGAGAGAGAGAGAGAGAGAGAGAGAGAGAAGAGAGAGAGAGAGAGAGAGGAGAGAAGAGAGAGAGAGAGAGAGAGAGAGAGAGAGAGAGAGAGACAGAGAAGAGAGATGGGAGAGAGGCCATTGGGGAGACATCATTATGGAACACCCTTTGACCACTCTACGGCTACTGGTTACCACTCGCTCGACTGCCTTATGCCACCATGCCCTATCTCTGCATGCCACTATACCCACTGCCTCTATTTTTACTGCCCATTGCACCTACCCAATCTTTCTACTGCCCACTGCTCTCACCCACCCCTACTTTCTACTGCCCACTGCTTCGCCCACTACCCTACTGCCTATCTTTACTGCCACTTGCCTGTCCTCTGCCCCACTACCTCATACTTGCCTCCGCTCTCTGCCCACTGTCCACTGTCGTCTTCTACTCGCCCACTGCCCCTCCTCTCTACTGCCCACCTCCCCTTCTTTCGTACTGCCATATGCCCATTGCCCATTACCTCTTCTTCTACCTGCCCACTTTACGTTTCCCCACTACCCCAGCTGCCTATCTTTACTTGCCATGTGCCACTCCCACTGCCAAGGAGATCGCACTGAACGCTTTTTATGAGATGCAGATCTAAATAATCTAATGAGACTTGATGGGAAGAACGCGGGGGTAAGGATGGCAGTGGTAACAGCCAGCCGAGAATGCGGTTCAATTTTTTTTATTTGTTCCTTTTTTGTTTGTTTGTTTGTGAGCCGTGGACGGCCAGAGGTCACTGCGGTACGTGGGGGCGAGTGAGGGAGGGGGAAGGGAGAGGAGGGGTGGGAGGTAAGGGGAGGGGAGAGGAGGGATGGGGAAGGGGGATAGGGTGGGGATGGGTAGGAGAGGAGGGGGTAAGGGGTATTGGAGAGGAGGGGAAGGGGTAGGGGAGAGGGAGGGGTAGGGGAGAGAGGAGAGGGGTGGGGGTAGGAGGGTTTGTGGACAAGATGTCACCAGGAATCTCCTTCGCTCTCCCCCCCCCCTCCCTCCCTCCCTCGGTCCTCCCTCTTTCTCCCTCCCTTCTCCTTCCCCCTTTCCCCTCGCTCCTCACCCCTTTCTCCCTTCTCGCTTCCCTCTTCCTCCTCTTTATCTTCTTTCTTCCTTCCCAAAGTCCTTTCTCCTTTCCCCTCCTCTCTACTTCGCTCTTCCCCTCCTTTCCCTCTCATTTTCCCCTCCATCCCAGATCTTCTTCTTCCCTCTCTCATATCTCTTTTCCCCCGTCATTCACCCTTCTCCATTTCTCCTTTTCTCACTCCTCCATCCCTTTTTCTCTCTCCCTCTCCTCACTCTCACAGTTCCCTCTTCCCGCTCTCTCTCTCATCCCTCCCTCCTTCCTCTTCCCTCTCTCTCCCATCCCCCCATTCCTCATTTCCCTCTCCCACTCCTCCCATCCCCCCTTCCCACCCTTTTTCCCTCTCCCTCCCCCCTTCCCACCATATTTCCCCTCTCCCCCCCCCATTCCTCTCCCTCCCCCACAGCATTTGAAATCCGCCCCCTCCCCCTCACCCCCTCCACGCCCACCACCCTCCCGAGTGCCGAGACAACCAACCTGGCCTCCGCGGGGACACACACACACACACAAGCCAAGTGATGTGAGAACAAGCTGGCAGACACAAAGCCGAGGCCACAGAACTTACGCAAGGACGGGGCTCAATCCCCTCTCTCCTCTCCCTCTCTCCTCTCCCTTCTACCTCCCCTACTCCCCACGAACCTCTCTCCCCTTCATTTCTATAACCCCCTCCTCCCTACTCCTCCTCCTCCTGCTCATCCCTCTCTCCTCTCCCCTCTCCTTCCCTTCTACCTACCCTCTACCTCCACGAACCTCTCCCCTTCATTTCTATAACCCCCTCCTCCTCCTCCTCCTCCTCCTCCTCCTCCTGCTCGTCCCCTCATCCCTATCCTTCTTGTGGGTTACCGTTCAGTGTTTTTTTTTTTTTTTTTTTGGTTTTATTTTGTTATTTTTTGCGTTTTCATTTCTGTTTTTTTTTCTCTCTCTCTTTCTTCCTTTTTTTCTCTTATTTGACTTTGATTCTCTCTCTCTCTCTCTCTCCCTCTCTTCTCTCTCTCTCTCTCTCTCTCTCTTCTCTCTCTCTCTCTCTCTCCTCTCTCTCTCCTCTCTTCTCTCTCTCTCTCTCTCTCCCTCTCCCTCTATCCTCATGTTCATCTCAGTTCTCCCCTTCTCTTCCTCCCCCTTCTTCTCTCCATCCTTTTTCCTCATCTACCTCTTCCTCTCCCTCTTTTCCCACTTCCTCCTCTTCATGGTCTTCCTCTTTTATCTCATATCCTTCTTCCTCCTCCTACTTTTTTCCTCTTCCTTCTCCTCATAACCCCCTCCTCCCTCCCTTCCCTCCCTCCCTCCCTCCCTCCCTCCTACTCCCTCCATCCCTCCCTCCTTCCTTCCCTCCCTCCTTCCTCCTCAGATTAGTTAATTAAAGATTAATTCTCGGCGGGCATGTACCAATACCACAGTACCTTCCCCTTCCTCCCCCTCCTGCCCAGTACCCCTACCCCCCTGCCCCCCCTGGAGAAAAACCAGGAAGTGGCGAAGCGAAAGAGGGGAGGGACAAATAGGGGAGGAAGATAGGGGGAGATAGAGGAGGAGGAGGATGTAGAGGGGAGGAAGAGGGCGGGGGCGGGATACGGGTGGAGGGGGTTCGTGACCATAAAGACGGGAGAAACTGAGGGAAGATGCGGGGGGGAGGGGAGGGGAGAGAAACGGGGGGGGGGGAGGGAAAGGAAAGAAAAGGAGGAGGAGGAGGGGGAGGAGAGGAGGAGGGGGAGGAGGAGGAGGAGGAGAAGAGGAGGGGGGGAGGGGAGGAGGAGAGGAGGAGGAGGGGAGGGGAGGAGGAGGAGGAGAAGAAGGATGAAAGAGAGGAGGAGGAGGAGGGGGAACGGAGATGAAAGAAGAGGAGGCTATAACGAAGGGGGAACGGAGGGGGGTTTGGGGTGGTGGGGTGGGGGGCAGAGGGGAACAAGTGTGGGGGGATTGGGGGGGGGAGGGGAGGGGGGGGAGAGGGGAGCCAATTCGAGGGCGGCGCTGGCACGGCGCGTTCCCACGGCATGAGGATTCGTAACGTACCCACTACTGATTTTCCCGGCACTGTTTTTTTTTTCGGTCTCAGTCGAGTGCCAGTCGAGCCGCTAATTTCTCATATCAATCTTTTTTATTTTTTTATTTCGTATTCTGTATTCGTTCACTTATTTTCTATTCGTTTTTCTTTATTGTGCACTTATTTTTTATTCGTTTTTTTACTCGTATAGCAAAATAATGATAATAATAATAATAATATAATAGTTATAATGATATGATAATGATCGATAATAATATATAATAAACAAACAAAAACAAAACAACAACACCAACAACAACAATAATAATAAATAAGCAAAAAGAAAAAAAAAAAAATCTTGATACATCGACATACTTGTCAAAAGAGGATTTAAGTTCGGTGACTCTTGGCAACCTTCAACACTGACCTGATTTCTTGCAACATAATTTCCAACATGGAAGCAACATGACTCCACATGGCCTCCTCCTCCATGCACACCACAAGCTCCTCCTGTCAACATATCCTCGCCCTCATAGTCTTAACCTGAGCGACGACTTAGTCCCCACAACATGGCCGTCAACATAGCTCCCCAACACAGCACTTAGAAAGGGTTTCGCTCTCACAAGTTTTATCATCATGAAGAATATTGACTTTGACAGACCTAACTGGCGGCCTGCTAGTGTACTCTGGGGCTGCCCTTTGCCCCTCTCTCTCTTCCTCTCCCTCTCTCTGTCTCTCTCTTTCTCTCTCTCTCTGTCGCTCTCTTCCTCTCTCTCTCTCTGCTTCTTCTCTTTCCTCTCTTCTCTCTCTCTCTGTCCCTCTCTCTTTCTGTCNAAGAGACAGAGCAACGAGACAGACAGACAGACAGAGAATAAAGGAACAGAAAGAGGAATAAAAGGGAGTGGAGAGCGAGTGAGAAAGAGGCCTTCGAGTCCTTTGCTAAGAATTTAAGCACCCTTGACTCAGCCTCTGGGGGGGGGGGGGGGGGGGGGGGGGAGGGGAGAGAAGAAAGGAGCGAAGCGAGAACGAGAGGAGAGAAGCGAGAGAGTTAGCGAGAGAAAGAGCGAATGAGTGGATGAGTGAGTGAGAGTGAGTGAAAGAGAGAGAGCGAGAGAGAGAGAGAGAGAGAGAGAGAGAGAGAGGAGAGAGAGAGAGAGAGAGAGAAGAGAAGAGGAAGAGGAGAGAGAGAGGAGAGAGAGAGAGAGAGAGAGAAGAGAGAGAGAGAGGAAGAGGAGAGAGAAAGAGGAGAAGAGAGAGAGACGAGAGAACAGAGAAAGAGAGAGAGAGAGAGAGAGGCCATTGGGAGACTCATTATGGAACACCCTTTGCCCAC